ATAACATGCAAAGAGCTGAAGTTCAGGGTTTTTTTTTTTGGTTTTTTTTGTGTGTGTGTGTGATACCTCTCCTGTTACTAGTCATCACTGCTGTCACTCCCTTCCCCGGTCTGACCCACTTGCCAACCAGGCAGCATTCGAGCGGTATAGTTGAGTTATGCGCTGGTAGGTTTTTTGGAGAACTGCAATGGTGAACATAGTCTAGGTTGAAATCTCCCCTCTGTAGGCAAATACCTACACAGATTAACACAACTACAGTACCATTAAAAACAAGCATTATATTATTATATATATATTTTTGAAGCCATTAATGTGGTTTCACATTAACTTCTGATCCTGTGCAATTTCTGCGTTTTGTTTTGTTTTTGGTTGGACAAATTAAAATTGCCTTGGGACTTAGAATGGACAGTAATTGTAAAAAAAAGCAGATAATGTTCGTCATAATGAACTGAGGACAGACTACTGAAAATAATTGTTGGCTTTTTCTTTTTTCTTTTTCTTTTTTTTGTAAATCAATGAATTCTTTTTTTTGTTTTAATTAGTGTTTTTAAAAATGATTTGCTGAAGCCACTTACTCATTTCTGTCGAGGAGAAAACATATTTTATCCAATATATTCTGACAATATTAAAGAAGAACACTTAACAGACTGTGATATTTTAACCCCTGGCTAAGGTTCAGAGGGAGCAGCTGTCGGAAAGTTGCCCTCACAGGCAGCTCCTGTTCCATGTGACAGCGTGAAGCTGCTTTCCTTCATAAACGGCATCATGGGAAGGTAGATGAAGGAAAACTCTGGGATAAAGAGCTGAAAAACTCATCACAGCGACCAGTCAGCTTATATAATTACTCATTCCAGTAAATTCTGTTCAGCTTGTGTGGCAGTGACATGGAGACGTTAGTCATTTGCTAAGTATCTGGTAGAGCTGCTTTTTAATGACAGAAAAATGACAGATGGATGTTTATTTTTAGAATAAGATTTTTTTTCTTTTCTTTTTTTTTTTTTTTTTTTTTTTTTTATATCCTGTCCTATTTTTGGAGTTATTCAAAAAAAAAAGTAGTTTGGTCAAAAGTTTTAAGCGCTGGACATTAACCAGTAGACTGTGTCGTCTCCTGACCTTTTTTCTTTTTCTTTTTCTTTTTAATTTTGTGTTTGTTGGACAGTTGAAAACTTTGAATGCTTTATTTCAAAATATCAACACAACATTGTGAGACTGCCAGTCTCCCGAGTCCATGGTGAAAGCAGCATGAGAAGTTAAAATAGTCAGAGTTGCTTATGTCCCTCAATGCGAGTGTAGAAATACTTCTAGTGTTTTGAAACTCCTGATTGTTTGTTTGTGTGTGTGTTGTAATAATGTGCAATAATATATATAGAAAATTGGCCTTTTTTTTTATGCATTTATTTTACAATATTCTGTTGCATAGAAAGACTTGCATTTGCAGTTAATTTAATGAAAGTCAAAAACTACACTTGCAGAAATGTAAAGACTTTTTTTTGACAACTGTAATGTGTGTTATAAAGTCAGACCATCTAATAAAAGAAATGTACTGAAATGTTGGTGTGGACTTTGGGCTTAGTAACTCTTTTATAAAAAATCTGTAGCACAACAGGAAAACGGGAAAACCCCCAAACCATAATGTTCAGAACAGTTAAACCGTGAATTTTTGAGCCTGTAAAATATTTTTTCTAAGAGCCAACTATGATTCCCTTTACTATTTGCAAAAGGCAATTATTCTTTAATGAAACAGTTTGTAAAAGTCAAACCTAATTTTGTGAAAATCTGTCATAAAACTTTGTCCCCCTTTTACCCCTGCTGCTGCCTCCATGGCGATCAACCAGATCCCCCACTGTTAAAGGTTTCCCTGTGAGGGTTTTGGTGGATGATGCTTAGCATTTGACTACCGCTTCCAGTACTCATGACCCAGTTCAGTCAAGCTGTCGCTCCACATAAGAGTCTTCTATCTCCTACTTTTTTGGTGTTGTATCTTCTCCTCCTACTTCTCAGCCATGTGAGGTGCTTCCCTCGCTTCCCTCCCTACATGCCGGCAATTAATAATTGAACATTTCATTTCGTGTTGTATCCAAATGCAAAGAAGAACCATATAAAGGACTGAACGAGTCTGCAGGGAACCAGATGGAGATCAGTGGAGAAAAGGGGGAAAAAGAGAAGGGATGATTGTGGAGGGAGAATTTGCTGTGTGTCAGTAGGGTGTGCTGTCTGCAGCCTCATTAGTTGTGCAAGGAAAATGTGGAGAGGAGGAAGGAGGGGCAAGACTTTGTTCCCTTTGATTAAAGGGGGAAAAAACTCAGTCAGCACAGTGATGTTGGGTGTGGATATACGTTTCTGTGAAGAAGAGGTATAATAAGGGCACCCATCTTTTACCTTTCTGTTAGTAAAAACCAGTCCCACCTTGCAGAGGTGACTGGTTATTAATTTCCATTATCTTGCCAATTAAAACGTCTTACTTGAACCAGGTTTATGCTCAGAAATAATAACTCAAGCTGATGTCTTATTAACACCAGAGAAACTTCAAGTACAAGATTTGATTTCTGCAGACGTTCAGCTTCTGTGAGATGGTGACATTTTAAAGTACAGACTAATAAACAGACTGGTGGAGGCAGGCGTCATATAGAGAAGCATTTATTTTAGCCTGCTGTTAAGATCATTTTGTGCATTCATAGCAAAGAGAATTAAGTTTTTTGCCTTTTAATGAAGCATAAACTTCAGTGTCACTTAAACTTGTGCTTATATGGGATTGTTAGGTTTCTTAAAATGTTATTTGATAAACTGCGCAAAACGCAAGAGGTAGATCTTAAACTCTACAGGCCACAGTTAATATGTTAAAGTTCATGACAACCCAGCTAGGAAAAAGACTGAACAAGTAGGGGGGTTCAACCAGCTTTAAATTGTGTAATTAGCAGATCAATTTGGAAACATTAACTAACATCCATCCATCTTCTTCCGCTTTATCCGGGGCGCGGGGGCAGCAGCCTACGCAGAGAAGCCAGACCTCTCCCCAGCCATCTCCTCCAGCTTATCCGGGGGAACACTAAGGCGTTCCCAGGCCAGCCGAGAGATATTAACTAACAAAGTAACCATTAACTGCTATGGTGAATTAAGTTATGGTAGCATAAATTACAGCAGTTTACAAGTACTGGCATGTTTATTTTTGCCCATAACTGCTAGGACTTCATGATTCATGTCAGATTTCCCATACTGCTGAAGGTTGGTATCAGTGTTACATGTGACGGGAATATTTCCTTCTCTGGATTTTTGCTTCTTCTTTACTGTCAGAGGTGCGTTTCCCAACACGTCTGATTGACAAGGCCGTCAGCAATGGCTTTTTTGTAGGACTCGCAAAGCAGTCAAAAAATTCACTGATCACTGTTGTAATTACCTGAAAAATGCAGCACAGTGTCTCCAGTATAATCTGTTTTGATATAAGCTTATACTTAACTAAATCCAGTAACACATAACTCACAATTTATGCTGGTAAAGCAGCATTTTGCTTCCTTACTTGATACTTTATCTCACCAGCACAGCAGTTATATATGTTGACTCCCCTTGAAGCGCTCTGCATTGAATTGATTGCGTATAGACAAAAGCAAGCATTATTATTATTTATGATTATTGTTCTTTCTTTCTTTGTTTATATTCTCATTAGGTTAATATGTATGTCTCTTTGATAATCCTGCATGTACCACTGATAGAGGTTCAGCCTTTTGAGATTATCTCAGCGCAATCCCTGCGGTATCTGTGAAGACCCAAGGATACGAGAGATGATTACAGAGACAAAACTGATGAATTTTTAAATCTGAGGATATCCTTTCAACATTAGCAGCGTAGTTTATTAACACTGACGTACCGAATGTGATTTCTGAAAATTATATTTAGTGAGTTGTTTATCTGTAGGCAAATTCTCCTCAGTGGAGTCTTTTGATGTTCCTTAGTAAGGCCTGTGGTTCACATGAACTGCCACACAATCCTTAAAGCTGAAAAAAGTGTACAGTCTTGATGTTTAGTGTTGTTGTTTTTTACCTGTCATTTTCCCTGGAAAATGACTTGACAATCAGCTGCATCATCCAGAGGTCAGTGTGAGTTTATTTCAGAGGCCCATTTTCCTGTTTGTGTGGGGACAGAAATGAGTCTTCAGTTCATTCACAGTTCTCTCTCTCCCTTCCTTTCAGTTTCTCGCTTTTTTACATTTTTGTAATTTTATTAATCATTTGGCGCAGCGAGCAGTCTTGCATCACTGATGCATTAAGCCACAGTACCTGCACAGAAAATGGTGATAAGTAAACTGACACAGCAAATAATCTCCATCGATATATTGATTTGTACATAAACATTCTCAATTTACTGTCGTAGAAGGTAAAAGCAGGGAGTGTTCTGCCTTGTGGGCATTCACAAAGATAGCTGCAGACTCCACAGATGACTACTTGTTCTTATTATACTACTCTGTAGTCTACCTGGAGGATCTTTGTGCTTTTGGTGGCCTTGTAGTGTAGTTGTTGTGCATACAAGTCTGCAGAGAGCCTTGTACACCCACTGATGATGGAATCCATGCCCCACGGTGACCCTTTCATGTAGTGGCATAGATTAAGCAGGGAGCCCTTTTGGGAATTTCTGTCAAGAATTGTTTTTCTTTTTATTATCCACAGCAACAAATCAAATGAAATATTTCACCTTACTTGCAAATCTGTTTTTAATAGCCAGAATAGCTGTGATGCATTAGGATGCCTGGCGGTGTCTTACGATGCCAGTAGGATGTTGAATTGCTGACCCTTTGGATCCTGTTTGTTTTACGCATCCTGCAAATAACAGATTGAGACCCAGAGCATTTTGGGTTTCTTTGGGTTTTTTTCATCAGTTATAGGCTCATCTATCCAAATCTACAAAAATTCTCATTTCGTTCATCAACCTTAATTATATTTTTGGCTGCTTCGTGTCAAAATATCACCATTAATACATTCTGAACTAATGTATCTCTTTCTGTCTTTCAGCCCTGATGACATAGGAAGCTGCTGGTACATCCTGCTGTCTGGCTCAGTTTTCATCAAAGAATCCATGTTCCTGCCCAGAAGCAGGTAAGATCATCGGCCATTTTGAATGCTGTTTGAAGGTGTGATTTTTGGCAGTAACATGCAAGCATCCGCTTCCCTTCCAAGCTAATTTAAAATGAAAAGACAAATGTCTCTCTCACCAAGATTTGTTTCCTGTCTTATCAGCTTCTTGTTAACTTTTATTAAAATTGGCTTGTAAAAATGTTGCACAGCAGCAAATGTTTGCATGCAGTTATGCGATTTCACTAAAGAAAATTGTAACTTTATCATTGTTTCTTTGGTTTCTAAAACAGATTTTACTTATGTTTTTGGCATAACTATTTAATTTTAATTTATATCTTTTTTTAAAATCAGTTATTTAATACAGATAGTCATTTTAACATTTACCTTTGCAAATTGGTTAATTCTCATGTACAAGAATGTTGCTGGGACATCAACATGACTTCTCTGCAGTTCAAGAGAAATACATTAGGTGACTAGGTCGAGAATAAAATGCATGTCGTCATTAAAAATTATAAACCGTTTTTATTAAAATACATTTTTACACTCTGAAATTCTCAAACTATATCACCAACACTGCAAAAAGGTGAATGTACATCTGTCCATTCCTAATACACTTATCCAATTAAGGGTTGCATAGAGGGGAAGCTAGAGCCTATCCCAGCTGTCATAGGGTAAAAAGCGGGATACATAGGCATGGTTTGAAGCTGTGTAAAACCACATTATAGTAGCTTACACTGTAACACTTGTACTTTGCAAGTATAGACACCTTGACTAAATTGTATGGATTCCTCATCATAATTAAAAGATTAGCATAAGTCATGTCCTTTTAAAGCTTTTGACCTGTATCACAGTAGGCTCAATAACCTTGGGTAGAAAGCGTTATCGTCATCACCAGTTTAGAATAGTTGAAAAGCTCAAGTAACACAAACCATTTCATTAGTCTATCTCTTGGATAATTCCTGCTTTTTCTGATTTAACCATATTGCATATTGTTTTAGTTTTTTAAAGAGGGTTGAAAATAATTATTTATGGCACCTTCAGAGGACTTAAGACTCATGTTCCCCTCTCACAGCAGTGTTCACCACCTCTGAAGCCAAGACTCAAATGTTAAAAAGCTGCGATTTCACAAGTGGATCTGTTACATGAAATATCCCTGTAGGCGTCTTGAAAACAATGATCTTTTTATCCATTAGGCTTGCATAACACACCTACGGCCACTCTGATCTCGAGGCCGTCACTTTAGGCCGTGGAGCAGAACTGTTCCGGCTGTACAGCGGGAGTCCACTGAGGTCGTTCTTTGGGTTTGTACGAACGTGGGAGGCATTTAAAACGGAAGAGTTGATCGGAAATGTGCCAAAAAGCTAGCCCCCTCTTAAATATAACCTTTTCAGTTTTACGAAGGTGAATGTGTGTGTGTGTGTGCGTGCGTGTGTGTGTGTGTGTGATGCCGAAGGGGGATCTGAAGGTACTGGCAGATTAAAGTTAATGCTTGACCACAGTCACAGAGGAGAAGAAGGCCCTGAAAGTGTTTACTAAGCATATGTTGCAAAGGAGCTTGTGGAGGGTGGATCCGCTGTGCTGTGTGAGACTGTATGGGGTTGATAATTAGCTCAGATGTTCAGAATAAAGCCAACTGCTTTATTCAGGACTGTCACATTTATGTTTTCTCTGCTAAATTATGCATATGAAGCACCAACTGCACGTTGAGCGGTTTTAGTTTCTGCGAGAATGTGCTTCAGTGCCACTAGCTGAGATTCATGTGAGCAACTAGATGAAAAGAAGGCAATCTGGCAATAGTCAAATGGGAATATTGCATTGTACAGAGCACGCAACATACAGCTGTTCATTCACCACAGCGCTGACTTTTGTAGACATGCTGGGCGTGTAGAATGCAAAAGTCTGAATTAGTTGGATCAAACTTGACAAGCTTCTTAGAACGAAGTCTTTGTGATGTCTGATTGAGCTTATGTAACAATAGAGCAGGTAAATGTCTGTGAGCTTCTTTTTTACCCTCCACACTCTTCCAAGTTTAATCCAAGGGTAACATTTCCATCGGTGAGAAAGCAGAATGACCCCTAGTGTTTTGTTGGTCAACAGCATATTAAACATGGCAAAAGGTAGGCTCAGGCTACTTTAAACAAAAACTTTCAGATGCTGGTTTCTCTTTCCTCTATACAAATATGGATATCGTACGGCCTCACTCATACGGTCCTAGAGACTGGCCAGCAATCTCCTAGCAAACACGGGTATCTAAGTTTCTACAGTTTGCCTGGATGATATTGACTTGTTATCTAATAACAAAAAAATACACTCCAACTATTCGCCAACTGACTGTAAAACTAAGAAATCACAAGCTGTGATCATCAGCCTTCAAACTAAAAGTAGCTGCTTTTGAAACTGATATTTTGCAGGAGAAATGTGACGCTTTAATTCTGAAAGCAAACTACTTTTCCGCTTTTTGCACTTTTTCCAAGTTTTGCTGTTGGAAGTCAGTGTCTTCCATGTAACTGCAGCAATCCACTAACCAACAGAACACTGACAAAGAGGTTTTTCATGCAGTATTCTCTTTGCAACAACAACAGCAACTTCACCAGCAACCACTCACCACTAGTCAGGAAATACATCTTTCGCTAATGACTGGTGGTTACCAGGAAGGCAGCAACCAATCTGTAGGCCTGACTGAGGCTTAATGTGTTTCTCTGGGACACAGTTCTGGATGCGGCACCCAATCAAAATAAAAGGTTTAAAGCAGCTTTAATGCAGCTGAGACCATTTGTTTCAGATAGTGGGCCTACATCAAGACCCAGAGTTAGACAAACATGAATTATATAAAGTTACCTACCTGACTAACACAGGTTTGTTAATCTTAGTGAAACGGCACATACACTGTGTTGAAAACAGTTATACAAAAGGAGCCAGTTCATGCCAACAATGAAGTAGAGAAAAATATGCAATGTTAAATTTACCAAGGTAATTTACTATTGCACTGGCTGATTAGATTATGGCCAACTGTCATTGGTTGTTGTAGTTTTTTATATTCATACACTAATTTCATTAATGAAATTTTTGTATTAGCCCCCTAGTATATTGTAAGCCACTTGGCTCTATTTAAAAGAAAGAACAAAAAAAGGTGTTTTGGGGGAAATGAAGCAGAACCTATTTCCTCAGTGACAATCAGACATTTTCAAAATGACACATTCAATGGCACATTCTAAGTCAACGTTTCAAGGACTCCTGGGTCATGAAACTCACTCAGGTTTTGAATGACAGTCTGCATTTTCAGTTCAAGAATGAAAAGGAGAAGAATAAGACTTTTTCCTGACAGCGGCGTTGTGGCTGTATTCCTGTAACAGTGCTAGAGAAACTCTGTACAATCATTTAATGTGATGCAAAGCTGTAAACCTAACTGAAATTTTCCTGTTTTCCTGGTAGAAAGTGTGACTGTCATAGTTTCTGTATTAAAGCATTTGTTTGTCTTATCTTATTATGAACGCTTCTGTCGTTTTTTGTTTTTTTTTCTTTTCTTGTCTTTTACATGGATTGTTCTTATTAACGGTTTTCCTATAGGGGCAAAACACTGGGTGGTAAGAAAAGATCCAGACACACTGCCTCACCTAGTCTATAAAGAGGACAAATGGTGAAGGTAAAATGGCTCGGAGGGGAAATTGGTTGTGGCACGAGTAACTGAATGGAGTCCAGTGGGACTTCCTGAAGCTTTTAAAGATGTGGTGGAATTGGGTTTCAGACAGGCCCTACCCAGAAATGGCTGTTCATATCTACACTAGCAGCAAGGTTGAAAACCTGATACGTCTCCATCATTCTCTCAGTGCTTCTCTCGCTCTCTTACTGCCGGTAGCTGTAGTGACATCTGATCCAGGGGGGAGATGAATGGCTCAGTCATTAATCGTAGAAGCTGGAACTGTATGCCGTAAACCCAAAATCAAATATCACCTAAATAGATACATGTTTAGTCACGGTACGCTGAAGGCTAACTTTAGCGTACCGTGACCAAAGTGCACTACTGGTGATTTAGTCAGTTTTAAAAGAGACAGTCAGCCTTGTATAATTTGTTATGATTCTGCAGAGATTGTAACTCTTATTTCATAAAAAAAAAAATGTATTGGCATTTATAGAGTACTTCTTCAGCCTTGGTGAGCTTTAAACTGAGTGCAGCTTGTGTTATGTTCAGTGTTTCTATCGTAGAAACTCACATAATGCATTGAGGCCATTTGGGATACAGTATCCTCTGGCCTAAGGAGGTTTTAGACCACCAACTTTCCAATTAATGGACATCCTCAAAAACAGGACAGAGGAAAAAGCAGCATTTATTATTATTATTATTATTATTAAGAGACAGGAAGGCATTTCCGTTTAACTGACTGTTTACTTGTTTACTTTCATTTTTAGTTGCCACTTATTTCTCTTTTACACACAGTCTGTTTAGGTTAAGATACCAAAGCTACTTGGCTCGGGTTATAAGATAATGGTTTGATTAGAAATCTACACTTTCACGTTGTTAGCCACATGCAGGTTACCAGGGTGATGACTACATTGCAGATTTAAAATGTGCTTTCAGTGCATGACTGATGAGATCAGATGATAACTGCCTACCGAGCCTGTTAGCAGCCACAGGCTGGTGCTTCCTAGTGAGATCTATGGAAGTGATTACAACTGATAATGACCATTTAATGGGATGAAAACATTTGGAACGGGTGATCTGTTGTGACAGTTGTCTACCACTATATCACTCTGCACAGAATAACACTTTTTTTTTTGTAGCTGCCATTTTTCAGATGTTACACATCTATTTTTTGGGCCATTATTGAGATGGTTGTGTTTTAGGCGAGTGTCTTTAAAAGCTTTTCAACTACTGAGCTGTTAATGGTTTCAGGGATGAATTTTCCTTCAGAAGATTTTCCAGTGTGTTCCTTAAATTAGATGTGCCAAATCTGCAACTTTCAAATGTTAACAACAGGCTAAAGACAATCATTATTTTCACATGTACTCTGCATTCAACACTA